AGGATGAAAGCTTTTTAGTATGGCCATGAATTAAGGTCAGACTAATCTTGCATTGTAATTACAAAGCTGGAGGTTTTGTTCCTCTTTTTTCTGTTGTGTGTGTGTGTGTCGATATAAGCATGGACACAGGGCTAGAGGTTCTTTAATGATTTAATCATGATTTTTTTTTCATACAAAGTCATTTAAAATAAAGTAACCTCTTTATTGAAATACAAATTGTTTTTTTGGAAAAATATTAATTAGGACAATTTCACGCAATAAAACAGATGTTGGTTTGTAAAGACATATGCATGAGATGCTAACTTGTAAATCAATCGTTTCTACTTCTCATGTCAACCCAAAGATGATATATTATGATAAGTAGGGGCTATCATTATTTATTTGGCACTTTCAATACATGTCAACAAAGAACATACACATGAGTTAACAAAATAGGTCAAATATCAAGATAACCATGGCCCAGAGGCCTTCCTTCCCAATATTGTATTAGAAATGTATTAAGGAACATGATCACCTCATCAAAATTGTGAAAGGAAGGCAGCTGCAGTGGTTTGGGCATGTAACTAGATGGGAGAATAGCTTGACAAACACCATCTTGCAAGGAGGTACTGATTGGATAAGAAAGAGGGGAAGACCAATGATTGATAACATTAAGCATTCAACGGGAATGTCATTTAAGTAGCTAACTAGAACAGCTGAAGACAGAAAGTTAAGGAGAACCTGTGTCTCAAGGTCCATTTCATTTCGCAGCGACGGCCTCCACGCTATGGGACATGATGGATACATAGACCATTAGAAATGTACACAAAATAATGATTGCAAATAGTCATAAATGGTGTATAAAACAATGATAAATGTTTCATTTTAAATATGCTCATGAATTTTCTTGTTATTGCAAAGATCTTACCATTGGATTCTTCCTTCTCAAAAAAACATTAAGAAAACATCAACTGCATTACTGCTACAATAAAACAACAAAAATATCATTCAACTATCCTTGTGATTATAAAAAAAAAAACAGAATCGATTGTACCAACACATTTAAGTGAATTGAACTAATGAACATATTTTGAGGGGAGGTGCCATACATCTCTCCTGATTTAATGCTGATACATGTGTATGTAGTATCTACATGTGTCTACTGTATAACCTGTTGTAGTTGATAACATGTATTTTTACTTCCACCTTTGTCTGTTCATTTGTAAAAGTTCCAGGGTCGTTTAATCGAGTGAAACATTTGCTTTTAAAGCTAATAACAAATACAGATTAATTCTTGGCTCATATATACTGTAAAGAAAATTGATTTAGGGTGAATCCTAAAGCGTCCAATTAGGGAATTCTACATGGATACAGCATTTCACTTGAGTTGTAATGCATGTCCTTTCTTAGCCATTGAGGGAGCCCTTCCATAATCCTATCTGTGACTCAAGACACTTTGCACTGCTGGTGACTGTATTCATATCCAAGTTAGATTGTGCAACCTCTCTCATGCACTCGCTTATCTACTTTTAAGTATTATTTTCTGTTTAGTCATTGTTTGATTCCACTCTTATCATGTTATGTAAATCTTCCTTTTTCTTTCTTTCTGTTATTAACTACTTCATATTTATTTCTAGATATCTCATATATCTTCTGTCTTCACTAATTCCTTATCTTAATCTTTGCTCTTTTCTTCTTTTCCCCTCTCCAGTGTTCTATTGCTATCTGTCTGTCTGTCCCTATTTCTGTCTCTCTTGTCTCTTCGTCTCCCCCTCTGTCTCTGTCTGTCTGTCTCTATATCTCTGTCTGTCTGTCTGTCTCTGTCTCTGTCTCTCTTCTCTCTCTCTCTTTCTCTCTCTCTCTTTCTCCCCTCTGTCTGTCTGTCTCTCTCTCTCTCTCTCTCTCTCCCCCCCCCCTCTGTCTGTCTCTGTCTCTCTTGTCTCTTCTTCTCCCCTCTGTCTGTCTGTCTGTCTGTCTCTACTCTTCACTTCCTGTCTCTGCCTCAAAACACAGCATGGGTGTCTATATATTTCATTCCCCTTGTCAGACAGTCATTTGTAATTTATTTTATAATGTTTTCATCTCATACTCCAAAAGTTTTAGGTAGTTTAAAAAAAAAAAATTGTAAAGAAATAAGTAAAAAAAAAAATCAAATAGCAGAAAATTGTTTTCAGTGAACATTAATGCATATATTCATTAAGTGGCTTCTCTGAAAGTTTGATGGTGATAGCAATATATCTTGGGGAGCTTGCCCAATATAGGAACTGATTAACCCGATCACTACCAAGTCTAGATAGAGTCTGGGTATAGCCTGGTAGATTGAGATGTTGCTTTGTGAGTGGCCGTGCGGTGCTGTAATTGGTAGGTAATTTGAAGCACGTTTGTGACAGTGATTCATGCTCTTAAACTCTGTGGTTACTTTTAGTGAGATAAGTGAGGAGTGCTTCAGTCCAATACATATCCATCATCTAACTCAAATTGGGCTACTCAATGTAAAGTAGCAGCAGGAAGTTTGTTTCTCAATTGCGTCATAATGGAACAGTCACAAGTTCAATGTACACGAGTATGTTACCCCTAACTTTTACTCACATGCAACGTCTCTGAACGGAAGCAGAAAAACAGCCTCACATGTTTTTTTTTGTTTGTTTTATTTTGGTCAAACATATTAAACTGTTATGGTATAGTTCATGGAGAATATAGATGCAAAATGAATGCTCCTGAAAAGAAGTAAAAACATGGATTTCATGTCTGACTTTCATGACTTGTATGACTATGGCTCTTAAGCAACTGTGGCTGTTCAATGGCACAAGAAAATGGGTTATCAAATATAATGATAGTAACAGTAAAAACCAAAAGCATGTTTACTTTATGCATTAAACATTGACTTATCTGGGAAATATAGCCTTACATGTTTACTTTATGCATTAAACATTGACTTATCTGGGAAATATAGCCTTACATGTATATGCACATTTAAATTTTGTTTAAAGCCAGACAGGCTTCTGGTTGTGAACATATAATTATAACTCTTGACTTGAGGTCATGGGTTTAAGCTCTGGCTTATACTGTATCTCATATTCAAGGGACTTAATCAACATCGCCTCCCTCTACCCAGGTGTATAACCTTGTAGGTTATGAACATCATTGTTTGTTGAACAGCATGCAAGCACCCATGAAAGGATGAGCAGTTTGAATGAATACTCCCAAGTGGACTGTAATAATAATAATAATAGCTAGTTCTTATATAGCACTTTTCAAGACCGAAGGCCCTCTCAAAGCGCTTTACAGATATATATAATATTACCCCGGTCATCGGATTCAGGCTTACCCGCACACAATGTATGCACATGTAAGTGTGGCATCTCACCTGGAATTGTATCTGTATGAAAGGTGTCCTTCTGAACCTCAAACGTGCAGATGAAGACCCCCCGAGGGTGTTGGATGGATGGAAGAGGTAAACCCTAAAAGGTTTCATTAAAACATCCTCAGGGGTGCAGCTTATGTAATGGTTTATAGGATGGGAATTTGAACCTCAATTTGTTAATGTGAATTGATAGGGTTGAGTGAAGATGTTGTCCCAAGATATTTAGTTCACATCATCCTTTAATGGATGTCTAATTATGTCTAATAGTTTAGATAGTAAGGAAACTGCATCATAAGAAACTTCTCCCATCTTTAAGCCATGTGTAATCGCATCAGAGAGAAGCTCCATGCGGCATTCCCCCGGAAACTCTGCGCTACACAGCCTGTAATTTCCCTAATGGTTGGTTGAGTCAAGCTGAGGGTGAAAGGCACCCAGGCCACTACCAACGGCTGTCAGCTCCTATCACTGTAGCTATCACTACCGTGTGCTAGCGGACGGAAGATACAGAGGAAAGATGGGACTTCTTAAGTAGCTGGTCACCAAATTGTGATTTGCTGTGTAAAGGATAGCCTTGAAGGCCAGGCCATTAACATAAACATTTCTGTAAAATCCTGATGATAGAAAGTTAATAGCACTTGGCATTGCAGCATATCATGTAATGTCACAGAAAACAAGAGTACTTTTAATCCTAATACTTGGATACTATTACTCCAATTAGCTTTCTTGTTCTCATGCTTGAATTGTCTTATATCTCGCACCTTGTCATCTTTGTATCTGATAAACAAGAGATGGGCAGCAATCAGGCTAGAAGGAAGGGATGTCGAGTGTCTTTTCCAGTTTGTTGCTGCATGATCTCTGCTTGAGCTGTTTTCTCTCTCACAATTATAACTTGACAAGTGAAATTCAGATAATTTTATATTTTCTTTTCTTCCAATATTTCCCCCCCCCCTTTTCCCAGAGTTACTACTCTGGTTGAACTGTTGAAATAAAAACATATTTATAGTTCATTTATCTGAGCAATGTTTGTTTATCCTGAAAGAGATAGCTCATCACCAATATGATAGGAAAAAATAAAAAAAACAAGTCAGTGAGGCTTGGTAAAGAGATTCTTTTTTAACAAAGTGCAAAAGATGTTTTTAAAAAACATAATCTTTTAGAATAAGTGAAGAAAAGGCTGGCTACATTTGATACCCAAAGCATTTGACAGTGGTATTGCCTGAAAATGGAATAAAAAGTCTGCTGAAATACAGAAGGGATTAACATCATATGCAGTCTTTTATATAAAATGAATGCCCTTCTAGCTCCAAGTATAGGGATGGAATAATAGTCTCACTAGAATGAACCCATTCAGGTAAATCAATAGAGTGAGTCAAATTAATTCAGCATTTCCGCTTGAATTGAATCTGATCTTTTATTGAGAAGTTTCTTATTAGCTGACTGAAAATATATCTGATGGTTTGTGGATTCCGTTTAAAGATTGAGTGGACACTGTTTGATCTTTACTACACATTTTTACCACTATGCTAGTTTGAATTTTATGGATATACTGGACTTTGTCTACATTGTCTAATGCACTACACAGGAGCTTTTCTTCAGTTTCAGTAGTATAAGTATAAGTTGTAATTTACCTCTCAATATTTTTCTCTTTTATGTACAGCAACAGAGAAGGCTGGATCTTCTAACGATAACCTCACCTGGTAAGTCACTTGTAACTTGTCTAAATCTCTTGATAATTAATTTATTAAAGTATAACTACACTGTATATGACTGGCAGAAGGTCATTGAGAGGGTGTATTCCAAGTGTGCAAACACCCTGTTAGAACATCTTGTTCTAACACCCTTTTGTTAGGCACTTTAATGAAATCATTCTGGTCATAGTATACAAATTTCAGAATTTATTTTTGTATTCAAATTATATACTTAACAATGTTAAAATAAAGAACTTAAATATCCACAATGAGTAATGTTTCCCTTGTGTCAATAACTGTATGTTTATAAGGTATAGCAGATGGTTTTCTATCATTTCATGATTTACTTTCATGTACTAGTTGTATTATTATCTGTTTAAGAGTGCCCTCATTGTTTTAACTATGTTGCAGTTTTAATGTTCTAATGTTAATGTGACAATCACCTGCAGAGGAATATAATTAAATATTCTGCTGAAACCGTGCTGCTCTCTACCTCTATCATCTATACAATACAGTTTTGACTAACTGTGTTTTTATGATTGTTGATAGTTAATGCCAGATGACAGTGTACATTTCCTCCCACTGCCTTCCTACCTCCCCTCTCCATTACGCTTAATTAGCAGCTTGGCAACAGGCATTTGCCTTTCCATCTTTCACTGCTTGACTATCAATGGATTTGGTAGAGTTGTTAATAAGCCCGGTGGACTTCACCCCCGTACTTTCCCATTAGTCCGTTCTAAAATATCACAGACTGACAGCGGATCATTCTGCCATTTTCAGCCAGACGCATTAAATGTCAATTTGGAGGTGTGATTTATGAAAGGAAATTAACAATAAAGTCATGCTTTTGTTTCTAACGCCGATTGCTTATCAGACAAAGAAACAATGTTACTTTCATTTTATTGGCATTTAGCCAATGCTTCTGATACCGTTTGTAATTCACCTCACCCTGAATATGCTTTCAAAAATTACAGTTACTAATGATTCCTGAATAATTTAGGTATTGCCTGTCCGGGATGCAGGATACACAATGCATATATAATTCTTGTAAAACTGATCATTTTTTGGCAGTTTTTTTCTACAATCGTATTCATGTCCATTGAATATGCATTAACCTATAGCATCTGCTGAGGACCATAAAGACATTATCTTACATCATTAAACACAGACTTAACACCCTTCTGGCTCTTAACAGACTATAAGCATGGATATTGGGGGGGGGGGGGGGGTCCTAAAGTGGTCACCTTTCTATTGCAGCTGAAGGAGTGCAGCTAAACCAGATCAAGCCAAATGTAAGGATGTTGGAATATTTCTAAATTCATGTATCAAAGACCCGGCACATTGTCATTGAAACCCTGGCTTTAAGTTTTATGGTACATACATTTTGTATCATGTTGGTTTCCCTCATCTTTTATTAGATTGAAGAAAGAAACATATGTTCTATCTTCATGACTGTCACATGGTCCTTTTGCAATGTTAGGAATGGTTTGCAGGCCAGGGATGAAGTTGTTTGTGTCAGTTCTCTTCAGTAAGTTACATTCCTCGGTGTAGCACAATAGGTGGTGTCACACAGAAAAATCCTTTCAAGGGAGAATTTTCTTGCCTCTTTAGAGGATTTTTAATGGAATAATTGATGACAGACAGCAATTAAGAGGATAACTAAAATCTGGATAACTTAAGTCCGGATTTTTGGCCTCTGTGTGACACCGCCTAATGTATGCATAATTTTAAACCGAAGGTTGTTCTTGACAACAGTAGCTTTTCCAAGGCTGGCCTGACATATCAACAAGTGATATATGTAGACTGGATCCCAAGTATTGTAGTTCATTCATGTATAACAGGTTAATGAAATAACTTGTCACTAGGATCCCAGGAGAGAAACATCCATAAATTTGAATACGTTAGTAAACTGGGCTATTCAGCAAAATCTGGTGAATATGTGAACAATTAGCTTAGCCTGGTAAATTTCTGTCTTTGTGAAGCTGTTAAGTGCATTGATGCATTGCTCAAATAACTAGATTTTTTTTCTGCACATGTGAATTAATGTATTCAAATATTTTGTTCGCCTGTTTTGCTTAAGATTGTTTTGAATTATACTTTAGTTGGTATGTGATGAGCCCCAGGACAGCATGATTTCCATAATTGATTAGTTGACATTTTGAAGTATTTACATGTCCTTGATTTTTTCTTTAAATATATATATTAAGAAAGAAGATTTCATATGGCAATCGGCTCAGTTTAATATCATTTCCACAAACAGGATCACGCATATATATATATATATATATATAAACCAGAAAATAGATAAAAATAAGAAATATCAATCAAAATATGGGGTTGGAAAGATACCAATTGATCTTCCCAAACAGAAACAATTCTAAGTACAATGTGAACTGTGTGTTAAAAGCAATTAATGTAGAAATAACAACAGAGGGGAGGTAAAAGAAGACATTTCAAAGATTCAGGAGATACAGTTTAGATCTAATTCTAAAATAGCTGGGTATTTTGTCTGTTTAGAGCTACATGGGTATATACTCATATACTCTAATGCCCTTCTGGCTCCAAACAGAACAGTGTTGTTATAACTCAATGAGTGGCTTCAAAAGTATCTTCAAAACTCATGAAATTGAGTTATATTTTTATTTTGATTGAAAGTGTGTGTAAATTGTATGAAGAATGGAATAGGACTTTGAGCTAATCACCTAAATGACTTACTGCTCTTCATTTCACTCTGTGTACTGAACATATTAGAAGGAAATAAACCTGCAAGTCATTAAGTTTATATCTGATGATTTATGGTGGTGATTAAGGCACAAATGACTATGAATTCATCATTTATTCCAACTTAATGCACAATAAACTGCATGGAAACAAATATAACATCTAATGACCAAAAACGAATTAAAAGATTTCCCCAAGAAATACTGCAATTTTAATTTGCAAGAAATTGAGCCGAGTCCATAAACGATCACTTTGGCTATTCATTTATCAAGCTTAATTTGTTTCCATGTTAATAGCAGTTGTATGATTGTAAAATGTAAGTTAATTAATGATAGTGGAACTCCCACATGCTTACATCCAATGCCATGGCAGTATGAATCAAAAGATTAAAGATCCACGAAGACAAAGTTGTCAAGAGGAAGGGTTTGAATGGATGCATGGTGAGTGGATATATGTTTATAGAAATACACATTTAAAGATTATTTTTGTTAATCACCTTTTCCATGACTGCATCTCTATTTCAGCATGTACAAGGGATGATTTCAGTATTAGGTTATTCTCTTTTCATTATAAAACTTAAAAAATATTTTTTTTAATCCTGAACACTTTGGAAAAAATCTATGTTTGTTCCCTACTGCTCGGCTAATAAAGCATGAGTGAAAGGGATTAAGGATTAACTCTATTCCAAAGAGCCTAAAATCGGCTGTCTTCCTTGCATGTGTACATATGCAGAATCTACAACACTAGGCCATTTTGGTAATGTAACCAAATTTATACTTTATAGGGCTTGATACAAATTCTTTCATTCACCTGTTACAAATAATTGTATTTGTTAGGTAGGGCAAGCCATAATGTTTGTCCTATCTAGCAACAACTAATGTTGCAATCTGAATTCTATTGAAATACATTTATTTGTAACAGGTGCATGAAATAATTTGTATAAGGCGCTTCACAAAGGCATATGCATAAATTTGGTTACATGACAAAAATGGCCTATTATCTGCACCTTGATTGAGAGAGTGAGAGAGTGGAGAAGGAAGGTCTTTGTTATAACATTATAGACATTTGCCCAGGGTTTGAACCTTTGAACTTGTGAATGAGAGTCTATAGAGGCTCCTCCAACCCCTCCCCTCCAACCCTCCCCCTCCAACCCCTCCCCTCCAACCCCTCCCCTCCAACCCCTCCCCTCCAACCCCTCCCCCTCCAACCCCTTCCCCCTCAAACCCCTTCCCCCTTAAACCCCTCCCCCTCAAACCCCTCCCCCTCAAACCCCATCCCCCTCAAACCCCTTCCGCCCCTCAAACCCCTTCTGCCCCTCAAACCCTTCCCCCTCAAAACCCTCCCCTCAAAACCCTCCCCTCAAACCCCTCCCCTCAAACCCTTCCCCCTCAAACCCCTTCCCCCTCAAACCCCTTCCCCCTCAAACCCCTTCCCCCTCAAACCCCTTCCCCCTCAAACCCCTCCCCCTCAAACCCCTCCCACCTCAAACCCCTCCCACCTCAAACCCCTTCCCCTCAAATACCATTTCCCCATGATTTCAACAAACATTGGTGTTTTGGTCTTTAAAACTTGTTTGAAAAATCACTTAAAGTGGTTTGAAATTAATTAATTCCTATTTAAATGCAGTCTGAATTAAATTTATAGATGATATGAAGAATGATAAACCTGTTGTAGATACTACAATCAAAATGTATAGACCAATAGAATATATATATATTCTAAGCCTATATTGGATAACAATTGCCTTTTGTAATTTCTGAAGGTCTTTTGATTTAATAACCTTTGAATATGGTGTTTGAAATGTTCATTAAATTTCTATTTATCTGGCGTTGTCCTTGGAGAGTTATTGAATGTGAATGTGGCTGGATCAAGGCCAGTGTATTAATCTCATCGCATGAGTAATTGTGTTCCACTCCCACGAAATTAATGTGACATTCAGCCAGCTTACATGGGTCCACAACAAACTCTAAAATGAGACAAGCATTCGTGTGTGATGTAGCCTTTGTGAATAGCAAATTAATGGCACTTGTCTACCATGTAAATTAACTTTTATTTCCCTTTATTTTTATTTTTTAGATGCTGTTGAATTAATCAAATGTTCGTTTTATAAGTTGTCTGTACAAGCTGGACAGGGTTGCAATGCTTGTTATGATTACTGTGAAATGGTCGCTACACTTCATTTGGGTTGTTAAAGATACTTTATGTTCAGTGATAACATATTACATCATAAGCTGACATGGACCTAAATCTTCAGTTAAAGCCCCACTGTACTACTTATAGCTACTTGC